AAGCGCACGTGTGACCGCTCGCGTCGTCCTTGTGCTAAAAACCTCTTCTTCTTTCTTATAAAAAATTATTACAAAAATATTTAAAGGTTTAAGCGCACGTGTGACCGCTCGCGTCGTCCTTGTGCTAAAAACCTTTTTCTTCTTTTCTTAAATAAAATTTTAAAAATACGTTTAAAGGTTGAACACTCGTGTGATCGTTCGCATCGTCCTAGTGTTCAATACTTTTCTCTCTTATTTACGTAATATTAAACGAGGGTATGAGTGCTCGTGCGATCGTCCGCATCAGCCTAGCACTCAATACTCTCAAGTTTTCCTAAATAAGTAAATAACGGTATGAGTGCTCGTGTGATCGTCCGCATCGTCCTAGTGCTTAATATCGTTATTTCTCTTTTTAAAAAATAATTAAACATATTAAAATATCGTTTTAAAAGTATGAGTACTCGTGCGACCGTTCGCGTTGGCCTAGTACTCATTACCTTCTTTTTCTCGAAAATATTAAAAACATAAAATCTCCAAAAATTAAAAACAATCCTTTTCCAAACAACAAACAATCTCTTAACTAGAACTACGTAACCCTGATTTCTCATTTTGAATGAGAATACGTAGGAGCAAGGTCAATCCTTGTCGGGCCCAAAAAACTAAAAAAATATATATGTTTTGTTTATTTAGAATTTTATTTTAGGGGATAATTAAGCATTTTGAAAACCACATCATATTCGTGCATTTAGTTAAAGGTACTGCCTTAGGGCAGGCGTTGTGGGGTGCTAACACCTTCCCCACGCGTAACCGACTCCCGAACCCAATCTTTGGTTTTCGTGGACCGTGCTTTATCGTTTTGAGGTTTTTCCGTAGTTTTCCATAATAAACTATGGTGGCGACTCCAAATCTCTTTTTAAAACCCGTTTCTTTTTGGATCGTCGTCCCGTCGCGATTCCGGTTGCGACAGTACTCTAACTCTCTCCTTCAACTACAAAAGGAGAAGCACTTGTCTTGTATTTTTTCAGAACTTGAATGATATTAGAGAAACTTTGGAAAAATTGCAAGCCTTTCTTCTTGGATCTTATTGGAATTGTCTTCTATTCTAGACTTCTTCTTCCTTTTCATTTAAGGTTGGCCCAACCTCCTTCAAGGAAACCTCACCAAACCCCAACCTTCAAGCATTCCTCAAATCTTCCAGATTGCTTCCGCTACATCATCTTATCTCCATGGAGCCATCAACAAGGTTGAAGGAGCATCTCCATCAAGACAACTTGTTGCCAATTACACAACTGGAAGAGGTACATTGAAGTACCAACCATCTACATTCGATAGTGCTGAGGAGGTTGTTGTCTAACTCACCCAGCAACTACAAGCTCGTGACTAGGCTTTTGATGATCTCGGACAACAGTCTATGAATCTCCAAAATCAAGCGATGAGATTTTTTGTCCCAGACACACAAACTATGGTAGAATGGTCGTAGTCCACCCTAACACCATCGCAACAACAATGCTCTTTAGTCTAGTGCACCTTAGTCCAGCCACATCCACAACAACAACAATGATTCGGATGACTATGCTAATTGTTAGGACTTTTGTTAGTTTATAGACATTTACTTTTCAAACTTTCATGTTTGTATTAATGGCATTATAAACATGTTTTTAATGCCATGAATTTCATTTTTAGGACACTATTTGGTTGTTTGGATTGTCTTGATTATATGAATAATCTAGTTTATTTGAAAATTGTTTTATGTCCAAATTCATTGATATTGGATAAGAAATTCATTACACTTGAATTTAGTAACTTATTTATTGACAAACATTATTGATGGATATATTCATTGATAATATAGAACATTATGTCATTTATTTATTGATGAAAAATGATCATCGGTAATTACCAATAGATCTAACGATAATTGTCTTTAACAAAAATATTATCAATAAATTTTTTCTTGTCAAAAAAATTTAGATAAAAAATTTAGATAGATACTTTCCAATTCAGTTTTTTTTCGTATGATTGATTATTAATTATTTTATGACAAATAAATTATGAAAACAATCTTGTATATAAAACTATTACCCCTTTATCGTTTAAAATTTTTTATTGTCTTTTTTAAGTGATATGTAAGGAGAGTGTGGATGCGACAATTCAATCACGTGGTTCCTTTTTTAACTTTGGGAAAGTTGGAATAAAACAATTGTTGATGCATTATTGCGTTTTTATTGATCTCTGTCTTGTAAATGGAAATCAGATCTAGCATTCCATATTCTTTTATAATGGATCGGATCAGAACTAGTTGGTGAAAAAGGAATAAGATTCAATTTACGTAATTATGGAGAAATATTTTACGTAGAAAAATACCATAAAGGAGATCCGCAAATTTAAGATTCTCCTCAAGATATGCTACAAGAACAAAAGTCAGCTACCATTCCATAAAATTATTCGTAAAGACTTTTAAGACAAGGAATTATTTTCATTTATTTACAAATTAAAAGCTATTATTATGTACAACTTAAAAGCCATCTTTTGAGCAAAAATACATTTTATTGTAATTTTAGTATCAATAATTTAAAAAATTCACAAATTTAATTTCTCAACTATGTAATCTTGGTCTTAATTTTTAATTTAATTTTAATTAATAACAAATTATATTTGATAACAAGTTGTCCTACTATTTTTAATCAAAAAAGGTTAAGCGTTTTTTTTTCTTTATTTCACGTTTTTATCTCCAAAATAATAAAAAAAAGGGTTAAATATGTTTTTAGTCCCTAAACTATTGGCCGTTTCTGGTTTTCGTCCCTCTTCCAAATTAAGGTACAATTTGATCCTCATTCTTTAGAAAAACGTTCGTTTTAGTCCTCAAAATTTTGTTTTTAGTCCTCAAAACGTTCGTTTTTTCGACTAAAACGAACGTTTTTAAAGATTGAGGACCAAATTGTACCTTAGTTTGGAAGAGGGACGAAAACCAGAAACGGTCAATAGTTTAGGGACTAAAAACATATTTAACCCTAAAAAAAACATGAATAATTGAATTAAAAATTGAAGAATGTCACATACAATTAAAAATTTAAGAATGGAATGTAACCTGAAATTAGTCGAAAAAATAGTTAAAAACTAAAATTATAAATTTTAGAAAAATCTAAAGATCAAAGCTATAATTAAATCTTGATATATGAGAAAACCTTTAAGAGTTAACTTAATTTCAAGACGCTTAAAAAAACTAGTTTATCGAAATAGAGCAAAGAAGACAGTTGAATTGCACATTAACTCACAATTGAAACATTTGTAGCAATTAGTATATTAAACATTAAACAAAGTGGTGTTTCTTGAACTTAAGATGGCTAAATATAGTGCCCACACAAGCACCCCAAATCACTATATCACTGGTCACTTTTGCCAACATAAATCGAACACTGGAACTAGCTTTATGCAATTTTCTCTTCTATGTCAACACACACTTTCTATTTTTCTCTTTCATTTGTTATTTATTGAGCTAACTGGGAGCTGCATTGTTTCTGTTTCTTTTATTCTTCCTGCTGATGATGACGTCTCATCTCCATAATCTTTGCCTTTACCCCACACCACAGAGTAAAGACCCACTGCGATAATCATGCCTCCAATGATACTGAAATCAATGTTCACAATAATATTTAATTCAATTTATTTTTAGCCCATATAAAATAATATTTAAGAATGAATATAAAAGGAGATATAAAGGTGATAGAGTTCTATTTAATCGTACTATTGACCATTAATTTTGTTTTAGTTTTTTTTTCTGAAGAAGACAATTACTTTATATAAAAAGGAGAAAAAGAAAAAATGCAGACAAATTTGAGTGAAATGATAAAACACTTCAACTCATGTGGGTATAGACAGTTAGGCTTTTGGATGATGTCGTAAAAAAATTTTCATTTCATTTTTGTTTATTTTTTGGTTAATAAATATTGAAAGTGTACTTTGTTGAAATACACTAATAAATGTAGCAAGCAGAAAAGAAAAAAGTGGATTACAGAAATACATGGAGAAAAACACAAGTATGGGCCAGGCCCAAATGAAATAGGAAGATACCTTCCAAGGTAGAGGTGCTCTCCAAGAAGAAGGGAGCCCAAAGCAGTAACAATAATCATGCAAAGAGGATTGAAGGATGTCACAAATACTGGACCTCTGCTTTGCATTACCAACCCCTGTATATAATATGCTATTCCTGAACTCATTATTCCCTGTAATAAATAATAAAAAAAAACCTCATTATTCCCTGTAATTTTGATATTTGTTAGTTTGGAAAGAGAAACATGAAAGATTTTTCATTCCAAGTTCAAATAACAACATATTTGGTTTGAAACAAATTTCCTATTTTATAGATAATAATGAAACTGATATTATTAATACTTTCTGATAAAAATATTAAAAAATAAGAAATAAAATAGTATGGTCATAATAATTTATAAAAATTAAAATAAAAATACTTTCTATTCATTCCAAATTGGTTCCAAAATTTTCCTATCTTAGTTCTTACAATTCCTATCGGATGTATCTGTATAAAAAAAAACTATTATGACACGTACAGAGGTACTATATATTTATTAATATTGAAAACTTGTTTATCAGGATTGTGTGACCAGTTTCTTTTATAAAGAGTACTTTACGTTCACAGATGTGGTTACATGTAAATGCAACCCTGCAAAGAAAAAGGAGAAAAGAAAAGGTGTCCCAATTACCTTTAGTATCTAAGACTGTGGAAACAATTATTTCATATACAATGTTTATTAAGAAAGTCGTTAAATTAAAAATAGGACCATTTCAACAAGTCCAAAATATAGAAGCTACGTTTGACCATACATGATTCAGAATATTCAACTACGTTAAAAGAAAAAATTGGTTTCAGAACAAAAATACTTGAAAACTGTGTTAAATTGAATGAGATAATTTATAAAGTTGAGCTGAAATTTGAATAAAGTTAAAGATTGTGGAACAAACAGTGTATAGAGGGCCATAGAGGGTGTAGTCGAAACCGATAGCCCATGCACGAGGGTTGCGATCTGCAATCACAGCAACCACAGCACTTTGCAATGCACCTCCCAAGCATATCAACGATGACAGTGACAGTTCCGCAGGGTACCTTTTCACCGTTATGGACTGCACAATCACATTTTTTCTTTTTCGTTAGACCAAAACAAAACTCTCCAATCACATGCATAATAACTTTTGTTAACATAGACAAGGGTTAAGGAATGGATTTTAAAAGATTAACTTAACTTAGAAAACTACCTTTCTAAGGTGAGATTTGTACTTCTTTATATATTTTAAATTGACCTTATTTCTAGTTGACGTGAGATTTTCAACACTCTTTCAAGTTAAGATATATATACATCTCAAACGTGGAATTAGAGATTAATTGATAATCGTCCGATAATAGGTAAAACAATATGTCCAACACACAACAAATATCGTTAAATTGATTTTATTTCTGGTGGATGTGGGACTTCCAAGGATAACATACTAATTTTATCATTTGGTAACTAACATAGTTTATGCATCTGTAATAAGGTAGTTTACCTGCAATATGTAGAAAGAAGACCAAGCGAGACAACCCAGGCAAATGAAGAGAGTTCCTGAGACCCAGTGAGAGTGATTATTCTGAGAGGATTGGCTTCCACTTTGTTGGTGAGTTGTGTTTGAGTGATGAAATAGGTCAAATTGAGGGCCTTTGTATAGTGTCATTAACAAAGCCCCAGCAAATGTCACCAAGGTTCCCACCACTTTCGCCTGGCTACGTAGTTCCCTCATGTTTACCCGCTCTAACCTTATACAACACAAAACAGTATTATAGTTTCTATAGGGGGCGACAAGCAAATAAAGACAACGTTGAAATGAGTAAAATATTCACCTGAGAAATAGTGCAAGCACAAAGGTTACAGAGGGTACGGCATTCATAACAGCAGATGCAAAGGAAGCAGAAGTGTATTGCATCCCCAAGAAAGTAAAACCTTGGTCAACCACTGGCCTACAACATAAAACATATGGAACAAATTATCAACATGCACAAAAGTTTGTCCTTGTCTGGATTTAGTCATGTGAATGTTTAACGTTGCTTCTCTTGATTTCTTTACGAAGTAATTATTCTTAAGTTCATGCCGTGTTCGAATTTGCTAACCAGTTTTTCTCCAATTTGTCAAGCATGTTACACGTTACGAATACACTAACAGATAAGATTAAGGTGATTACTCAAGAAATCCAAGTACTAGTATCTGCAGGAACACGGTCCATGTCATCTTTGGCCTAACTTTCCTGCAAGAAATTCAGTAAAATTGTTAGTTAAACGAGGTAACTCCACATTAAAATCACATTAAAGAATATAAATTAACAGATTAAAAAGAAGGAGAAGGTGATAAACTAAGACCTTTCAAATATCAAGGCAAAGGGAGCAAGGGCCAATGCAGCAATGGCATTGCGATACACAATGAACACGAAACGACTCATTCCATGGTTGAGACTTGCCATGGTGAAGAGGTATGTCCCTGCCATCCCAAATTGCAACCCCACAGTTAACACATATGGCTTTGCCTTATGTACCATGTTGCCAACCTTGGCTCCACATAAGTCTTCCATGGTTTCGCAAAGCTTGCTATATTTGCTAAAAAGGGTTGGCAGGGTTAGTTGCTATTATGTGCATGAAATGGTCTTCCTTATATAACACCATGACTAATGATTAAGACAAAACAATTAAAACCCACTACGCATAGCATGTAGATAAGTGTCGTAAACCACTGTTTAACGTTTTCCTTTAATTTAGATCATCCCATCCAATTTCTCACGTAAAGTTCCACCCACCAACTAAAGGAAAAGCTCTATTATTTAGTGGAACGTATACCCTTAGACTCGCTTGCTTCATCACCAACTTGATCAATTATAATGAGTCAGAACACACTTCAGCAACAGTGTAGTTTTACACCCACAGTTTTTTTTTTCTTTTTTTTTTCTGGGTTGTGTTACTACCGTTTATCCATTTTCTGATCAAACATATATTAGCGTTTTCGATTTTTTATCTTGCTCTGGTAGCAACTAGAAAGTGATGAATAGTTGAATACGTTACATTGTTAATTAATATGTAGAAATAGTGAAAAATAAAGTTCTAAAAGAATTAATATCTAGGTGAAAGTTCCTAATACTGTTTGTCCTTCTAGAGAAGTAAGCAGTGATTAACCCTCCAGTAATTTTAAAAATATTTAGTGCATAAACTGGCAAAACTCAAGATTAAAGCTGTGGATTCAAGTTGTCACTGGCAGTATCCAATCGATAAACAATTAATCTATGGGTTCCATTAATGAGTGGAAACATCCTTCGTAGCCACGTATGATTCTCGCATCATAAAAGGGATCAGTTTCTTATGGTCATCATTTGATTGGAAACATTTTCATGTTTAAAATTGCTGTGTGCAAATTGTTGGATCTTGTAGAGTTTTTGACACCATCCTCCAATGTGTATGGACAAATCATCATATATATATATATATATATATATATATATATATATATATATATATATATATATATATAACTTGTTTTCGTAAGTATTTTAAGAGAGTAAGCATTAGTATTTTGAGAATAATAATGTGTTGACCATTAAAAGTGTTTATTTTGCTCCAAGGTGTTTTCAAAATATGCAAAATAACTTGGTTAATATTTTCATTTTTTAGATGCTAGCATGTCAGGGAATTAAATAGAGAAGAAAAAAGTACATTTAAGAGACCACCATTTCACGAAGAAAAGAAATGTGTAGATGATGAAAAATTATTGTTTAATACAACATAAATGGTATTAAAGCAAAAAAAAATAAAGTAATTGAATTAACAAATCAGTCAACTAAATCAAAAGATAATGTGTAGATGATGTAAACTTTCAAACAGTGGACCACTAAAATTAGAAAACAGAAAGCATAATTAAATATAGAAGATAAAGTTAACTATTCTGTAATGGATTTAAACAAACAATTAAGATCGAATCAGGGAAGAAAATTAAGAAATGAATTTAAAAACAAGAATCTAAAAAAGAAAATGGATTAAACAAGAGAAACAAGAGTCCCTGAAATCTATATAAATTAAAGACAAAAATAAATACAATGTTGATGGAAGGAATTTGACATATTTTTAATTTCAAACAAGTTTGCTTGGATGTTTCAACAAAGAGAATGAAAACCAAGGAAGCAAGATGCAACCTTGGTAGACTTAGTTATCTTTATCTAGGATATGACGAGTTGTATTACCTAAGGATATTATTGACAATTCAAAAGAATTATATTAATCTTAAAAAATATACCAATAAGCTTGCTATGCTTTGAGATAATAGATGATAGAGAATTCATTGATGCAATAAAAGAAGAAATTGCTTCTAGAAATGAACTTAAAAAATTTGTTACTTTGTTAATAATGAATACAATGCCCAAACATAATTTGGAATTCTACTTAGAATTTACAATTAGATGGAGTTCTATATAAAAAAGAAAGGAGTTCAACTTTTCAAGTACTGTATTTGTATTTACTTGTATATCAAATTTAATCATATCATTGAATGTTCATATCATTCAATATATTTTTCTAGCTCTTCGAATGGAGGATGTTGAATTACATGTTTTTTACAAGTTCAAGAATTATTGATGTCAAATGATAGGTTCTTAAAAGGTTATGTTTTTCTCGCTTGATCTTTCATAATCAATATTGATCTAATATAGATTTATAAATTGATGAGTTGGATTAGAATAAATAAGACATGATTATGCATCATTATTACAATCACTCATTAAATATGTATGAAGACATTATGACAATAGTGTATTCACAAAGAGGATTTATTTTATATGGTTAGGGAGGGAGTGAATAGTGTTTTCAAAAAAATTTCATAAATTAGTGTCGAATAGTTTACAAAGACTGTGTGCAAGAGTTTTAAGATGATTATATGTTAGGTTTTAATGATATAAGTAAATGGAAAACATTTTAATACAAAAACAATACACCATAATTTTTTATACTGGTTCGCTCAACCTGAGTTACGTCTAATTCTCCCTTAAGAACTCTTAAAGGGTTTCACTAATCTTTTCCAAGATTATACGAGTTTTTCCTCTTCAGGATCTCATCGAGTATTCTCACTGCTTCTGGTTATAACAAGTATTAGTACCACTTTTAGTTTCCTAGTCAATATGACTAGACCGAGTTTAGCCTCTCTAGGATCCAACCCTAAACAACTGTCTAGACTTTCAACTTAACCTAAGCTAAATAACCAAGTATTTGAGTTCTCTCTAGAACTTGCAACAAATCCACAAATGAATTCTCTACATGGTACAAATAAATGACTCTCAACGAGAGGATGTGTTGAAATGCAATAAAATCTCTAACAATTGAAAGTGTTTTTCCTTTTACAAAGATTTTTCTCTCAAAAGATATTGAGTGTCAGATGATGTAAGAATACTTTAAGCTTTTCTCTCTTTTGTGGTTGCTACTCTTCTTATGTTATTATGCATTTTTTCATCAACAAGATTTTATCTTCAAACATTTTTTCTTTCTTCTTCTATTTTTATGTTATTTCCACATTTTGTGGAGTGTTAAGCCTTTAAGATTGATTCTGTTGTAATTTCTTAACTAGCTTCTGAGATTAGATGAACAAATTTTGTGTTCTTTTGATTCTTTGTGATTTATTGTTATCTATGTCTTTTGATTCTTAATCAAGTGAAAGTAATGATTTTTACATTGTAGCAAGTTAGCATGGTGTTAAATCTACATAACATAAACATTATATGAGTCCAAGGGTTTTTAATTTTAACTAAGAATTTACTTTGATTAAAGTTAGAAACTTTCATGTGATTGAATGAGTTTTTGGCAATAATTGAGAATGTACTTTGATTAATGGTAAAACTTCAACAAGAATTAATCATGAATGTACTTTGGTTAATTAGCTTTTTACTTGATATAAGAGGTAAAAAAATACACATGACTAGGCATAGTAATATTTAATTGAGAATTTACTTTGGTTAAATATACTATTATTAATCTACAAAGTTCTTGTTTTTAATGGAAAATGTACTTGGTTAATAGTAAAAACACCAACAAAATAATTGAGAAATTACATTAATTAATTTAAAAATCTAAGATAATAATTAATTGAACAATAACCTTTAGATAACTAATTATCAATCCTATTTTGAAAAAGGAATGAAATCAACCTATTTTCTTTATCATTATTTTCATCTTTTTAAATCTTTTTAAAAATTTATTTCTTTCTATCTTTTGAACTTTAATATATCTTTATCTTCTTTATTACTTCTATTTTACAAACTCTTTATTGTAATTTTTATAAGAACTAATTTGTTAATAATCAATTTCGTGTTTGTTGGGAGACGACTTAGGGTTGAACTTACACTTTCTATTTTGTTAGCTACTATCTTAGCAATATTAAAGTTCCTATAGTGTAGTATAATATTAATTTGATCGTGTCAACGACAACCTTATTACCTTCTTCTTCTAGAGATACCCTTATGTTGAGACCTCGACCTTTTTTTCAAAAGAAATAACTTAGTTTCTCTTATGGGTTCCACATTTACATCACTTGTCACTCTAGGGTCTAGGTTTCTCCTCCTAAAACAAACTTAGCAGGTTCTACTTTTTTGATGTTGATTGTGCGAAGATGTAGGATAGCTAATTGAAGACTGATAATGTAACATTCACGAGTCGTCCTTTGGTCCACATTGATCGTGATGATGTCGCTAACAAGCTGTCCTTTTGGTCCACATGGACCATGATGATGTCACTTAAAGCCGAGGTGACATTCATAGCCAGGTGGGGAGTAAACACATTCACACACCTAGTTAAGAGATGGTAATCCCAATAAGATATTGTCTGACATGTTAGCATCTACCACTAAATATCTAATATGTATCATCGTCATCAATTCTCCTTCCCCAAAGGTGGGGTACAAGTCAATATAGCCCTTAGTGCTCACCTTTCTTTTGAGAAGCCAAATATGGGCTCGTCATAGGGTCATAACCTCCTTAGGAAACTATAGCTTCTTGTATGTTTTCCAATACAAGATGTTAATTAACACAACTTGGTCTACGATATCTTCTTCACAATGAAGTTTTTTGTTAAAATAGAATGGCTCAATTTCTCACACCAAGAGGGGGAAGGGGGGAATTGGCGAAGTGTAAAAAGCAAAAGCTTTTAAAATCTTTTTCACAAAAATTGATGCCTTTATACTTTTCTTGAATTGCACAGTAAAATATTTTCAATGCAACGGAAACTTAATCAAATAAGTACATAAAGTAATCGATTGAATAAAAGAGAGTAGGGATTAGAAAATTCAAATACTGAGTTTTTATACTAGTTCGGCCAAGCCTACATCCAATGTCTTTCCAACCACAGGAAGCCAATGCACTATAAAGATCAAGGTTTTTACAACAAGGTTTTTATAGAGACCTCACTTCAAAAATATAAAACACCTCTTTAACCCTCTAATCTAATATAGGTATTCATCAACAATACCAGTAACAAGAATCCCCTCTTCTGCCGTCTAACCCCTTTGAGGCACCCTCAAAGTCAAGAACACACATGTTCTTCTTCCTTAGTCACAACAGGGAACTCAAACCAATCTTCAAGAGATTGCAGAATTTGATCACGCAGTAAC